GCTTTTGAGAAACTGAGTGGGATTTCGATTTTATTTCATGTGAATTCTCTATGGAGGGGATATTTTCTAACGAACATATGCAATCTAAACAGGTTTGGTTAAAATAATCCCCTCAATCTGAGAATTTTACATAATATTCCTTTGTTCTACCAGGAGAGGTTTTGAAAGAATCGAATTGCGAGTTCATACATCAAAAATTACAGAACTACCAATGGCGGGGACCGAGTGCGAATTCGAGATTTGATATACCTGTTTGTACGTATCAATATGAAAGCATGGATCCACAAACTCATATACTGAGTATCCTTTTGACTCCAAACATGCACATGCATGTTTGCATGGAAGTTTCTCTAATTGCCATGCTTTACAAGAACAAGTCTTCTGCTGCAAGTCAACCTTATACGACTTGTCCTCATCATATACCTCAAAAGCGGTACTACTTGATCTACAATATTTTAAGGAACGAGAGGCCATATGATTGATTGTTAATCTCTTTAGAATTTTCTTGCACAATATGCCAGTCATTGCCAAACTTTTTCCTTGTCGTTTAACTAGCATCTCCATTATTTTGATCCGTATGTGATCAATCATGGATGGAACAGGCAAAGATCGGGCATCTTTAACCCAACCATTCCAATTTTCTGCCTGATTATTGTTCACGATTCCCCATCTTTCTCCAGAAAAATAGGCATTCGCCCAATGATTTGGATCAGAATTCGAAATAAATGATGCCGCGAGAGGCATAGATTGCACTATACGAGAAATAGTTGCATCGAACTCCTGCCGAGTAGGAGCATATGCAGCATTATGTAAAACACTCGCCCAATATGACTTGTTGTGCAATGGGTACTTCCTCAGGACCTATATTATTTTGAAACATGTTATACAAATGTATGAAACATGCTATACAAATGTATGAAACATGCTATACAAATGTATGAAATGTGTTATACAAAAGTATGACACATGTTACACAAATGTATGAAACATGTTATACAAAAGTATGAAACATGTTATACAAAAGTATGACATGAGGTGACAAAATACCTGAGTTCTAAAGTTATCCACCAAGTGTCGCAAACAATATGCATGGTGGCTACTAGGAAATACCATCGGGACGGCTTTAAGAAGCCCCGAATGACGATCAGAGAAAATGGTAAAAGATCTATTGTCATTGTGAAGATCTAGAATTTGTTTCAGTTTAATGCAAAACCACTCCCAGTTTTTATCATTCTCAGCATCAACAACTGCGTATGCCAATGTATACAAGGAATCATTTGGATCCTTGCACACAGCAGAAAGCAAGCATCCTTTGTACTTATTTTTAATGTGAGTCCCATCCAAACATATCATCGGCCTACACCGATGAAAGCCGGAAATAGAACTCCCAAAACTAATAAATATTCGAATAAACTTTTGAGTAGCAGGTTCAATCTCATACTCTGCCATGCTACCAGGGTTATGCATTTTTAATGCACGACAATAGCGTCTCAGTTTATCATAACATGTCGTCTCATCACCATGGATATCACGCATTGCCTTTTCTTTACCCCTCCATGCTGTGTAGTACTGAAGCTCCAGACCATAATCGTCTCGGATATCTTCTAACATACCACATGGTGTGTAAGCTGGCTGCGTTCTCAATTTTCGTTTCATAATTTGGGCAATCCATGTAGCATCGGCTTTAGGATGACCCCTTGTACGAAGAGTAGCATCACCACAAGTGTGCTCAAGATTGCACTTGCGAATGCTAAATAACTTATCTGACTTGTACAATGATGCATAAACCCTCCATTTGCAGTTTTCGTGAATGCATACTGCTATGATCTTTTGTTGATCATTTTTCATGTACTTAAATGATCGATTATTAGCAATAGAATAGTTTTTCAGCATATGCCTAAAATCATCAGGATCTTTAAAAAACTGATTCTCCCCACGGATGCAATGTCTCCATGCATCAATTGAATTTCCAAGCGGATTACCCTCGATTTCCATCGATTGATCGCCGCTTTTGGTTTCAAAAAAATTTTAAAAATGGATTACAATAGAGTGGAATCCAAATAACAATGTACATGAAAATATCATAACAATGCACTGGTTCCATACTATCTTATCCATTATATAATACTAAGTTTTTCCACAAATAGTACCAAGTTTACCTACCACCCATACTATTCAGATGAAGGTTACGTACTATCTTCCCCATTATATGATACTATGTTTTCCCATTAACAGTACCAAATTTACCTATCACCCATACTATTCAGATGAAGGTAACGTACTATCTTCCTCATTATATGATACTATGTTTTCCCACCAGCAGTACCAAATTTACCTATCACCCATACTACTCAGATCAAGGTTACGTACTGTAAGTATCATACGTCCATACCATATTTATATTAGCATGATACTATTATGTGCCATATTTTATACTATGTATCACACAATAATTAACAACCATAAAGAAATGCATTTCAGCAGTACAGAAAAAGATGGAGACCTACCAGCCATCGGTGCGAACCCTCTTTCCACGCGAATTAGCTTCATCTTTGCAGGTCACGACAATGTCGACCACACTCATCTTCATTATCAGATGCAATGCAACCATATTCTCCACATCTTCATCAGTGCCCAATGTCACATACAATCTTTCCCGAGGAGCCAAGTATTGGAGGATCAGTGCATCTGGATGGATATGATTCCATTTGTTGATAATAGCACCATATATCTCCATTAATGTCGAATTACTTTTTATGGAAATAATGTGAAGTTGATTTTTGTATCGACAACTTCCAAGAATCACACTGGGTACATCGTTAGATACATCATTTGTAGCCATTGTGGGGTGGGTGGGTTTTACAGTGATTTTTTCGCCGGAAAAAAGGGGAAACCAGAGGAGAGAAATGGAGAAGAAATAGAGAAGAAAGAAAGCAGATAGAAATGAAGAGAGAGAAGAAAGAAAGAGAAGATGAAGAGAGAGAAAAGCAGGAGAGAGAAAAGGGTGAGAGTGAGAAGAAAATATAATAAAATATATAAAATTCACATTAGGGACTGATCTGCATGTTAGGCGTGTGAGTAGGGACTGAAATGCTAGGGCAAACTACCTAGGGACTGATCTGTGTTTCAAGTTTTGGATTAGGGATTTATCTGTAGTTTCCCCTCAGAAAAAAGTCGTAATAAAAATAAAAACGGTACCGAGAAATACAAACTGTAGTTTGAGAAAATCGAAAATGAGTTCTTCGCATTTCTTGTCAGTCTCTATGACCAAATCCACCTACACGGAACGATCGACACACATCAGTATATACAAAAATTAAAAACAAACAAACGCGTCCCAATATATAAACTCCTAACATCATCATTCATCAGAACAAATTTCCGAAACCCGAAGAAGCAATCGAAGCATCGCCGAAGTCGACAATCGGAAAGCTGCGCGTAACAGTGAGCATAAATAGCACAGTCCCAACTGTTTTTAGAGTAATACGATTTACGAAACAGAAATTATAGTATGCAAATATTGATTTTTCACTGCAAAAATTATATTGTCGAAAACAGAGAGAAAATAAATTGTTTTTAGTTCTTCAACACTATGTTTTTGATTGAGGATATCAATACCTATAAATAATGGACAACACATTTCAGCAAAGTTGCAGCCTAAGAAATATTCTTCCCAATCAACATATAACAAATAAACAGAATATTCTATTCGGTTAATACGACAGCCTTCTTTTAACCTTGTGCCTGCTGATAACGATTAAGATGCTCCTTCACTTCCAGCCAAATCGACAAAATTCTGTCAATAAAATTACTCCCCCATTAGAAAACATTAAATAATGCTATACCTTTATTTTTTTGTTGTTAGATAAATTTCACACCACAGCAGCTGTAAGAGTGCTCGCATTGTCCCTTCCAAAAAAGTCACGAGAACAGCTTTCAATAGTCTGCGACAAAAGTTATCGAATAAATAAACAATAAATTAAATAAAATCACAATATACCAATGTAATAATTTCGTGGGATCTCGAGCTGATTTCATTAATCGACGTTTCTCCAACTTTTCTTTTAGCTGCAAGGATTAACAAAAATGATGATTTTGTACTCTTAAGCCTTGTTTGGCAATCATGATTAGGCATGATAGACAATATAATGAAGCTCCATCGAATGTTCCCAAACGAGGCCCTAAGAAATCTAACAGTCGTTTTGATTAGGAGCAATGGTTCCAAATTATCAAGAATTGAAACGGAGCCTATAAAAAAAATCCAACATATTAGCGTCAAAAGAACCACCCATCTATAGCAATTTGTACCAAACAATAAACAAAAAAGAATAAACCAAATAGAAGAACTGTCAGCATCTAGAGTACGGTGCCTCTCTTGTGAAACAAGTGCGATAAGAGAAATCGAAAATGCCCAAATTAAGAAAAAAAAATTCAAATTGCGCAAAATCGCTTGTCAATGGAAAATAATTCACCTCTGTATCATCGAGAAGTCTTAGTGGAGTGTTTTCTACACTGTGTAGATCTCTCTCCGATTTGTTGTAGATCTCCATAGCAGAGAATTTGAACACAAAATCTCTTTCTTGGTGCTGAAAAATCCCTC